CTCGTAACGCTGCAGCGGGTTGTTGTGGCCCAAGTGCAGGATCCGGCACTTGGTCTTGTTGAATTTCACACAGTTAGCCTGTAGTTAATTTCAGAACATTAGCTAGCTAATTTCAGAACATCTAATTTCTTTTTCTACCCCAGATGGCTTAGCTGCTTGTATAACCATTTTGTCTAAGAACAGGCTCTTGAGCAGTAACATCTGTTTCCTCAATATATAGGTAAATTTTTAAAAATAACAACAGCAGTGTAGAAGAAAGAAACCCATACCACTGAGTAGGCAAAGACAACTTTTGCGTAACTCTCACGGACAAACAGCCTTGCCACACCAGCCCGGGGACAGCCCTGAGGTCCTGCCTGCCTTCTGTGCTGCCCACAGCTTGGCCAAGCCATGCACATACATCTCCAGCAGACACTTATTTGTAAAGCAAAGGAGAAAAGGAGATGCGTTGGATTACCCCAGCTTCATATGCGGGCACATTGTGTTGCCATATCTGGCTTCCCCTCCGGACCAGGGGAGCTGGCAGTGTGGTGCACCTGCATGCCCAAGGCTCAGGGCAATGTGTGAGGCTGCACAAGCCCTGTCACAAAATTCAGTGTTGATGTCTACAAAAAGGCTCAACAAAGTACACTGTTGCACAGCAAAGAGAAAGACGACGAAGAGAGAAGACCATAACCAAAATGCTAGGGTTTCCAAGGAGCCTGCGAACACCTCTTCTGTGCTGAGGTGGACGCTTGCAGTGCAATTTAGCTCTGCTCTGAAGCAAGAAGTGGCACCTTCGCCACAATAGCCATTTGAGTCACGGGGCTTTGAACCACGTCTTAAACACACAGGGCTTTCTCTGTAAAGCACTGTTTTACTTTTCTTATTTTTCAATATAATCAGAAGCTCATTTCATGAGGTGTCTCGTGGTAGCCCCTGACTATTTTAAAATAAACATTTTCATTAAACAAGTGGATTTTGGTATGAGGAAGTCAGCAACTTGAAAGGGCTTTTGTCAAAAGTTGGTGGAGGCCCTGGAAGGCTGTTCAAACATGGGAGGAATTTCTGCCTGCATAGTGAGTCCTTTGACTTTTGGAAAAATATTATTGTTTGAGTTTTCAGTAACTTGGAAGCAAAAGGATAACATAGCTTAACATTTTTTTTTAAAAAATATATACACAGTTATGTCATGATAGACTTCAAATTTTCCTCTCAGTCCATGTGTCTGCTTTTGCTATGGAATATTCCTAATAAAAGAGTAAATAAATGCACTGTAAATAGCACTCGGGAGTGTAGTGACATCATCAGCCCCAAGGGTTGAGTGTCAGAGAGTGTGTGTCCTGAGCCCTCAGAGCCCCCGTATGCTCACTGAATTGAGGAGTACAGCACAGATCTGTCTGTGGTGGTGATGTCCATGTCATGATGATCATCACAGATATGGTGGTACTGACCGACTCCTGCTGTGCCCCTTTTTAATGCCAGCCTGATAGCCGCCCCACAAACTGGAAGGGCGGTAAATATTAGCTTTTCCACAGAGGCAATCCTTAGGTGAGTCTGGACTTTGACGTACTTTGATCTTTGTCCCTTCTCCTCCTGTACCTCTAAAGACTATTTCCGTGTCCATTTTTAATATTGCCTCTCAGATGCTATCATCGGCCTTTGTGAAGAACAGGTTGTGTCTCCCTGTTGAAGACCTTCTCTGTCCAATGCAGGGTATGCACCAGAATTAATAAGTAGCTTTGAATAAGTGACCGGATAAAAACAGTCACTGAAAAGAGACACTGAAGTTTTAAGGGCTTTGATAACTGTGTATGTGGTTCAGGGTTGTGCCAGGTGCCTTAGACTGAAAGTGCTCCCAGCGCCTGGTGTCACTGGCAAGTTCTCTTGAAGTCATCACTGAGCTTCCTAAAGAAGTCATTTTCTCATATCTGGACCATAAATTGAATGTACTCAAAATACCAGGGTAATCTTGCTGATGAGTTACAAATAGAACATAACTGAGAAGAAAGTATTTGTCTTTTTTGAACTGAGTTACATCTTCTGCATGCTGAGATGTGCAGAAGGGCTGATGAGCTAGTAGACGTTGGAAAATATCCATCTGAATCAGAATCAACTATGCATGTAATCTGGCCCAGGGAGTTGAAGATTTAGGTGAGGAAATTAAACTCTGGTCCTTGCTTTATAGCTCTTTTCTGTAAAAAAGGAATCCTTTTTCATGTTATTTCTGAGGGTAGCTAATTTTTTTAACTAATTCAGTAGATATCCATCACAGGTGGCTTTCCTTGAGTTAGTTTATGTGGGCTCACAGAGAAATCACAAGGCAGGAATACTGTAGCTGAGCAAAAACTTCAGAGAAATTACTTCAGCAATTTTGTCCCTTCACAAAGCAGAGAGTCATTTTTTTATTTGGTTAAATGTTTTGTTGAGTCCTGGACCCAGCCTTTGCTTTGCTCCTGGGCCAAGAAGAGCTTGGTCACTCAGCAAGTCATTGCATTTCCCTGTTCTGCAGAAGAAATCGGATGGGTGGATCATTTCCCTGCCTGTTGGTGGCAAAGCATCTCTGCAAACATGTGGGGCTGAGCAAATCTTGCCTCTTAGGACAGGTGTTGTGGGTATGCTGGCTGCAAGCACAGGGCCAGGCAGACTTCAAGTGCAAAGGCAGGAGCAGCGAGTGGTAGTCCTTTCCTCTCCCTCCCTTTGTCACCACCTCAGAATGTGTCTGTACAACCAAACACCCTGCACCTTCAGAAACGGAGAAAGGAAGGAATTCCAGGTCTCTCACTTTTGGGGCAAAAATCGTAAGCCCTCAGTGGTATGCGAGTGCTGGACTTTTGCTCTTCTGGATGTCTTCCTGGAGCTGAGAGCTGTGACTCGATAGGTGGCACCCAGTGCTTATACCAGGCTCCCTCAGATGTGACGGCTGGGTGAGGTTTTTGTGGCATGGGGCTCGCACCCCAGTTTGGGAGAGGCTATAGGAAGCTGCACACTTGCCTCTCTGGCCCTAGGCAACCAACGTATAGCTCAGTTCATAATGGCATTCTGAATCAGTGTTGGCACCTTTAACCTTATCCCATCCTAAGAAGTGAGATTTTTAAATAGCTTTCAGTTGCCTGAATATGGCCAAGACACAGGAGAGTTGTTCTGCTGTTTTTTCATGCGAGACGAAGAGTGGTCATGAGGCCATGTTTGTCACAGTCACTTTCACCTCTAACTATCTTCTAGAACATGTTCCGTAGTATTTAATTGCAGTTTGAAATGGAGTCATCACTGTAGGCTTAATGTAGGTAAAATACCAAGAAAGAGAATATTGCTTGCACTTTAAAAAAAAAAAAAAAAAAGCAAACGCTTCATTTTGAAGCCATCCTTAGGAGCAGCTGGATGGCTGACTTCTTGTACTGGGAGAGCATTTACGCTGTTCAGAAGACTGCTCTTCTGGCAGAGCAACTACGTTTTAACAGCTTGCCAGATGAGAATGTGATAGAATGATAAAATTTCACTCCTACCCTCAGCTACTCTGTACAGTAATGAGATGGTGATTAAGAGCCTGTTTCTTTACTGGCAAGGCTCACAGTAAGTAGCATCCTTTCCTTGGACGTACACTAGGTTTAGATCTATGATCCTGCTGCTTGGGGCCATCTCAGAAGGTTTCCCGTCTTCCTCTGGCCTCTTCATTTCTTGTCTAGGCAACTCCCTTACCTGAAAATAAGACTCAGCAGCCCATTCACCAAGTCCAGCCCTAAATTCCCCACTGCCAGGAATCTCAACTTTTCTTTCCTCTCAATCTGCCAGTTTAACCTTCAGGAGCACATCATGTTACTAAACCAATAGGTCTTTATGAAAGCAAATAAATGTATAACGAGACAGTCGTACACAGCTCTTGTTTCCTATTTTCTCCAGGAGTTTTGGTGGATTTCAGTCAAGAGTCCTCTGCAATATATAGAATACTTCTTTTTTCCCAAAAACTAGTTTTCAAGACTCTGATTTTCTCTCTAAAATGGCTAGTGGGAAGTCCCTTTCTTTTACAGGTGTTCAGTCATTTTCCCTTCTCCCACCTTCAGATGAATGTTTTTCGTCTACTGCAATGCCAGGCGATTGCAGTACTTCATCAGATACTTTACTATTTTGATTAATACCTAGCTAGAATCTGAATTTAAAAGGTGTTGTGGGGAGGGGTTTTGGCAGGAAGATAACTTGTGAAATAACCAGTTCTTCATTAAAGGCTACCTCCGTCTTACAGGACAATTAACATGTAAGAACAACATATGTTCAGCCTCATGCCTGCATCCTAGCATCTGGATTTCTCAGCTCCATCTGGCATCTAATAAAAGAACAGAGCCTCAGAAATTCAACTCAGAAAGCGAAATAGTTTTTATACATTATGACAGCCATATAGAAATGTATTCATTCTGTTTGAGACCATGAATGTGTAAACACACAGGTGTCCCCAAGCAGCTATAACAAGCATCATTGTTTTTATTAAGAATTTGTAAGCATGTGCATGGGGTAAAAAAAGAAAATAATACTGAACTGCAGAGATTTTCTTTATAGCTGTAACCTTTCAGACCTGCTAAGGATGATAAGCAAGTCTGATTGATAACGCCTATGTAAGACACCAGTCCTGGAAGGATACCTCTGCGTCTGCAGCCTATGCAGTCCCGCAGCTGTACGTTACGTTCTCAAGAGACATATGTGCCAAAGCACATAAAAGATCAGCGCCTGAAACACTTTGATGACCCTGTGCTGTTTCTTACACATATTGGTGTTTCCTGAGATGCTCACTAGGTTGTTTTATTTCTGGAATGAAAAGTGCCAGTAATGTTTTTGTTACCCTCATTCCTTCCTTTCCCTGCTCCGGGCAGGAAAGTACTAGCAGCTCTGCCTCATAGGTTGGCAGGAAATTTAAAACAGCAGCAAACTGTTGCTCGGACCACCCCCAGACTTTTTTTTTTTCCCATTGATGCAGGAGACTATTTAATTGGGGGCTGACTTGTCAAACTTACTTGTTGATGCTTACCAGTAGCTGCCTAACCTCTAACGGTGATTTTTTCCCTCCCTTGCTCCTCGTTTGGACAAGCTCCCCACAATGAAGATGCTGCTGAGTCTGATTGCTCTTCTCTCTGCTGCCCTGTTAGCCAACGCAGCCCCTCCAACTTGCTACTCAAGGGTGTTGTCTCTGAGTAAAGAAATCACGGAGTCCTTTAAGGAGTTACAGACCTCCAAAGCTGTGGTGAGTCTACCTAAAAACTGCTTCTGCAAAGGTGCTGCAGGCTGCTTGCTTTTGACACAAGTTCCTCTCTAAACAAAATTGCAACAGGTCTGTCTTCTTTCCTGCAGGACTCGTGTGTGGAGATGCTGCCCAGGCTGTACTTGGACATACATGTAAGTTTTCACACTTCTTACTGCTCTGCAGAAAAGCAGCTACTAGAAAGAGAGGATAACTCTGAAGATTGTACCCCAGAAGACTGGTTTGAAATGAATATTTTTAAGCTTAATTAACTAGAGAGATGAGTGACTAAAAAAAAAATATCTCATTTTGAACATCATTAAAATCCCTATGGAGCTTCTGATATTTTACATGTTTAAAAAATTCAGAATTGAGAAATCAATATTTTGAAGTGATTACCATTTGTATGTTATTAATTGATTGTGACAGAGCCTTTTCAGAAGTTAAATATGTGCAACAAAACCTTGAATAATATTTTGAAAGAAGAAATGCAGAATAAACTTCCTTCATTTAATAAATCTACCTCATCTTATATCATGAGTGGCTTCTGGCACTGCAGTTTTAATAAAAAGAAGTACAGGAATACCTTCCTGGCTTTTCCTGTTTAAATAGCCCCTTGTTAAATCCTGAAAGAAAAAGTATGCCTGAGGATATGGAAGTGTGATACTGATAAAAGACGGCGGTAGTTATCTCCCAGCAAAGACAAAATAGCCTCCTGTGCACATAGTTTATGTCATAGTGTTCTGCCCTGGGATATCCAATATATTTTGCTTCTTTTCCCAGTGCTCAACTGTGTAACTAAAAAGTAGAAAATATCAGACAAACCACGAGATGTCTGACACATTTTTCCAGAGGCAACTTGCAACTTGTCAAGTCTTGCAAGTCAGAACCTTATAGATCCCAACTCCAGAGTTGCCAATGCCTCACTTCATTGCAAGCACCAAGAAATATGAGTCCAGTGCCTCAGTTTCCCTTGTTTTAAACCAAGAGCTGGTATGTTCATTTACCTGCTTCACAAGGACGTTGTGAAATTAATGTTGGCTGTGATTTATTTTGATAAAACAAAGTCTGAGATAAAAATTACTCTGAAAAAAAATTTTGCCTAGCATTCACAGAATTGGATATTGTACAGGAACAGAGGTATCATGTCTGTGAGATCTTGATAATCTGTTCACCAGCTAAATCAGGTGGTCTCTCAAATGGGAGACAGTGCACCTATTCTATAGGTAACTCCACCAACTACAGGAGCAGATTCGATTGTATTAGCAGTGCTGTCTCCTAAAGTGTGTGAGAAATAAGCTGGCAGGCCAGAACTGTGTCTATGCACTTGTCCAAGCCCTTATTTGGACCAAACATCTTTGTTATGAAATACTGACGGCGAATTTTCCTAACTGAAGGTTATATAAATTACATAGGCACAGAAGTAGGAATTCAAGGTTCCCACAGAGGCAGTAAGAATTTGGTAAGTGGTGGACAAGGAACATAAATCTGTGTTTGTGCAGGGTTACACATACATTTTTTGCGTGCTTTGCAGAACTACTGTATCTTGGCAAAACTCCGTGACTTTGTGGCATACCCCAGATGTGAGAGAGTGCTTGAAGTGAGTGAGCTGAAGGAAAAAGCCCGGAGCCTGTACACCATCATGATCTCCTACTGCAGAAGGGTACGTCAAGATGCACCAACAGGGATGTAGTCTCTGCTTTTAGCCCCCTCTGTCTCCACTCTGCCCCTTCAGGGATCAGGGCCTGAGCTTCTCAACATTGTGCTGTCTTCTGCCTTCCTCCTTACAAATGTTAGCCTTCTCTTTTGTTCCTCCAGGACTTAGTGTTCCTCACTGATGACTGTAACGCTCTGGAAAGTCCTATTCTGCCTCCCATTGAGCCCTCTGTCATTGAGAGCTAAAATGGAATCGACTCAAAATTGTACCTGGAAATTTCCAAGGAGAACGAAGAGTCAAAATACGCGTACATGGTCAACTACAACATTAACAACTAGATCTCTTTCAAGCACACTAGCAGTATTATCTCAGACCCACCCATTTTCCTCCGCCTTGGCAGGAAATGAACCACATGCCTTGCATACCTACTGAGCTGCTAGGGAAACTACGCTTAGAGAGCATTTTTTCATTTGGCCAGGTATGATGTTTCAGCTTAGTCAAATGTATAAAGTATGTTTTGTTTAAACATTAGATACTAGATTATTATTTTACTCTTTTATGAATAACTAGATTCATATAAAGAAAATACATTACGATCAATATTCTATCCTGACTTAGCAGTTCTTCTTTTATTAGATGGGCTTGGAAGGGATCACATTTGTTTTTCTTAAAGTGTTTGATAGAAGTGTAACTCTATACTGGCAGATGTCTCTCTACATGGCTTGTCTATGTATGCTGATAGTTTTTGATGTCAAACTTGTAAGACTAGAGGTGAAAGTAACCTGTCTCTGTGGAAAACTAAATAAAAACAACCTTCTAATCCAAGATGCTTGTGTTACATCATGTATTTCGAGATCAACCGAAAGGTGTCATTCTTGCAAACTTATTTTTCACAGTCACTTGCAAGTTGTTTTTCACAGTATAAGACTTCTTTAGCTTTGTTTCCATAGCAATGCAAACTTTGCTGTGTCTGCATGATTTGACAAGACGTAAGTTTTTACTGGGGCAATCTTTCCCTCCTGCAAACAATTTCTTTGATGAAATTAGTGGATTTTTTTTAAAATACCATTTCTGTGTTGTGAGAATGTAAATTGTGAGGCAGTGGCTCAGAAAGCCTGTTAAAGGTTTGGACAGATTGTTGTGTCTCTAAGACACAGGCCCTATACTGAGCTATTGAGATTAATAAAATTTCCAGATAATAGTTCCAGAGTCAGGGACCCCTTCAGCGTCTGCAGGACATGAGACTTTTACACCTGGCAGCAATTTGATGCCAAGAAAGAAAGGATCTTTCCCGTATTCATGGAAGTACCTGCTATTACCCCAGAGTCCCTTCCTTCCCTCTGTGCAAGTTGCTGCTCCCTCTCCTATATAGTATTCAGTGATTGTTAAGTTGCAGCACTGCCAACTCCAATGACTTGGTCAGTGATGTCACCATGTCTTATAGGAACTCAGTCTTCTGTAGTCATGAGATTATGTGACAATCACAGCTCCTCTATCATCCTCTCATTCCAATGAATATTTGAAGATATGAACCAAATTGATTGACAACTGTTACGGAACTAAGTGAATCATAATATTAATTCAAAGGGAAAAAATGTTCAAGGGGGGAGGAAAAAGCAGGGGTTTTCTTTATTTTGGAGTTACCCTGTTCTGTAGAAACTATTCATCTGATTTTAGCTGTAGAAAATCTGACTATCCCATTGAACCACAGAATAAGGGTAGGAAACACTGAACTCAGGAGAGATACAGAGGGATGAAAGCAAACAAGTGGTTTTCTCTTCAGTTTGTTTCAAATCTAAGTGTAGATTCAAGGAACATACCTGTCAGACTTTGTACTTCTCTCCTGAAGATGAAGTCCTCATGTGCTAGCCCTACCAATTCTTTTCATGAGCCACGGTTCCCACAGGCAGCTCACAGGGGTTCCCACTCAGATGTCTCTATGGGCATCTTGTAGAGAGAGCAGCAAGATCAGGAATTTGAGCTAGCACCAGGCTGAACTCAAAGAAGTGCAACAGCTCAGGCAGTCCTACTATCAGAAAAATCATTGCTTAGTTTGCCTTTTAGGATTATTTTCCTCTCCAAGCCAGCAACCTCTGTGCAAGATCCTACGCACTCCAAGGATACCAATATAATTTTTTCTGTATCACCTGGACATAGCCAAGGCCAGCTCCTCCAGCAGCAACCATATCCTGGAATAAGGGCACCTATCAGCATGCTGCAAGGAGCTTATAACCACATAGGGAGTGTGTAAGCACTGGCAGCTGCCTGACTTAAGGACAAATGCAGGTGGAGTTGAACCATTTGCTGTCAGACTCTACATTCAAGATTTTCCTCCCTCTAACCAGGGGCTTAGCCACCGCCTGGGATAATATCAAGGCCCATGCATGTCCATATAAGTACCAAAACCACATCACAGCCCCTGTTTTTCATACCTTTATACAAAGACAGCCATGGACATACCTTGCAAGAAAGTGTGTTATGGTCGCCACAAGCCACAGCGTTTGCAGAGCTAACCCAGGGACTGGGCGCAACATGTGCTTGGAAGCTGGTAGTTAATTTTTGATTTTTTTCCACCTCCAGAGTCATGGGTTTTAAACACAGGCCTGTTGTAAAGCTTGCGTTGTGACTGGGTGAACAAACTGCAGAGTAAGATGTGTTTCCTTTCCCGCAGAAGCCCATGCAACACCGTCCCTAGAACTGGACCGTGTTTAAAGTCTGTACAGGTAACCAGGTAACCATGGCACCTCTGTCCCTGCTTCTTTCCTGTCACAGGGACACACACTTTCTGAAATTGAGTATTTGATAAAGATTTTCTCAGGAATCTCCTCATAACTCCTCTTTTTTGTGCTTTATTGAAGTAAATAAACCTTCCCTAGTTCATTTTGATGGAACTCATGATCCTAACTCCAGATTTCTCCCATTACGTTCCCATTCTTTCAACCACATTCCAAAAATATTTCTCCTGCTTTAGGCTGATTATACGTACCCTAATGTCTTTAGGACAAAATTTCTTGCAAGAAGTCTTTGGAACTGGAAATAGACTATAAATCATTAGTTTGTTAGTGTTTCTTTAGCTAGTAACTTTAGCCTTTTCATGACTGACAAGGACAAACTGTGTCTGCAACACACTCTTAACAGGCTTACTTACCAACAGCTCAGTTCAGTACAGCTCCACCCTACTTCTGCAGAAGCTGAGAAATGCAACGAGATGCTTTGGGAACTGTGCATATTTGAATGGACTTTAAAAGCCTGTCTTCCATTTGCAGATGCTGTATATTTTATTCCCAGAATCAGATTTGCCTGGTCCTCAGTGTGCTTTTACACTAAGCGTATTCCCTGCGGTTTACGCTGTGACTCTCTTCACATCCTGTATGTCATTTTTAATGGAAAGTGTGCTGAAAGCAAAGCTATGCTCTTTCAGTTCAAGGTAACCTGCTGTCACTCAGACTGTCTTAATGAAATTTGTGAGTAGATGAACCCTTTTTATAAACAGCATCTTTTTCCAGAGTGTCAGAGTCCAGGGGAAAAAAACACTGATAAAGAGATCTAATCCACTTGTAATTTGCCAAGAAATCATTCACTTCTCCCTTTCAGTAAGACAGCAAGCTTACTAACTTTTTAATTTACCATTATACCAGCTATATAAGGAGCAGTTGAGCCATTCACGCAGCTGAACATTTATTCCTGCAACATGGCAGCCCATGCTCATTAGGGCCGCAGCCAACAGGGAGACCGTGAAGGGATTAAGACAGACATATTTGTTGTAATTTGTCGACTGGCATCTTGCCTAGTTAGTGCAGGATTTTACTAAAAGCACATCATTAAGAAACTGCACTCAGTTTGTACGATCATTAGAGAAGAATTGTAGAAAAACAAAGCATCTGTTCTGTTGTCTTGCCTGTTGAAGGAGGTTTGTTGGCAGGAGCACTCAATCCTAGAACAAGGTTTCCTTCCACAGACTTCTCTCTGACTGCAAGAAGCCTCACTAAAGAGCAGTCCTAGGACTGCCAGGCTCTCCCTCATATTATATAGAATCTCAAGGCAGTCAAAATGGTAGGTCTTGGGAACTGTTCCTGCAAAACTGTTCAAAGACAGTTCCAATTTTGCCAAAAAGTTGTATTACAGATTTTACTAGAACCAACTCCCTTTCCATCTCTTTTTTTTCCAGTATCAGTCACACAGGCTTTCCTTAAGTAAGCACTCTGGTCACTCAACTCCTCATATACAGTTTTTTGGTGAAACCAGGCTAGCAAATGTTTAATTTCTGGCCACTACCCCAAGTAGCCTTCACACATGATTAGATCATCCAAGGATGACAGGGTTCCACTGATGGTCTGTGGATAACATGTGACTTGCTACTAATTTATAGGGTACAAATTAAAAGATGTCTTATGAAATCCTTTAAAGGGGAAGGGAAGGGAAGGGAAGGGAAGGGAAGGGAAGGGAAGGGAAGGGAAAGTAGCATTGGGGAGGAATCTGAATTTTTAAATTATACACTTTTCGAGAGCAGAGCACTCACATCTATATTGAGAAAACAAATAAATAAATACATATATACCCTGAAATCTTGTTTCATGTTCGCAGATCTGTAAAGAGAATGTGTTCAGACAGATAAGAGGATTCTGAAGTCAAACAGATGTGGCGGAGGGAAGAAAAACCTCCCCAGAAATGTTTTGCAATAGATCGAAATATATTGACTTTACTTCATTAATATTCAAACCTTACAGAAGAAAAAAAGCCAAAGTCATAGAACAAGAAAGGAACTCGAAACCTCCTAATGCACCCTGTGAGCCCAATACTAGCCTGGTTATCCCAGGTCTTTCCTGACAGCAGTTTGCCTGAAAGATTTTAAGAAAAAGTTGATGTAGTTGTAATCTACAACAGTAGATTACAAATAAAAAATAATTTCCAAGAATCTAGAGACATATTTAAACTTTTTTATTTAAGATGAATGTAGAAATATAGAGTACGAGTTGGCCTCACTATTCTATAAGGAAGAAAACATTTAGGGGAAAACAAAAAAAAAAAGCAACAGATACTGAAATACAGTGGCTGCTCCTTTTGCTGTACAGGTAGATATAAAGTCTACTGGAGTCAGCAGTAGTTTCTTGAATAGACTATGCAGTGAGGAATCATGTTTTTTAAATTCATATGGACTCTACAAAAAGTGATCCACACCTTCTCTTTCCCAGGACACTATCCCAGCTCCCAGGCTGTCAAATCCTCCTAGAACTGAGCCATGGCACAACTGAGGATGCAAGTTTAATTTCAGACCCCTACATTAAATG